TGGGGAAGTGGAAGATGTCAATGGGGTAGTGGAAGTAGAAGAGGTAAGTGGAGAAGTGGAAGATGTCAGTGAACAAGTGGACGATGTCAGTGGGGAAGTGGAAGATGTCAGTGGAGAAGTACAAGATGTCAGTGGGGAAGTGGAAGTAAAAGAGGTAAGTGGAGAAGTGGGAGATGTCAGTGGAGAAGTGGAAGATGTCAGTGGAGAAGTGGAAGATGTAAGTGCGGAAGTGGGAGATGTCAGTGGAGAAATAGAAAATGTTAGTGGAGAAGTGGAAGATGTCAGTGGGGAAGTGGGAGATGTCAGTGGGGAAGTGGAAGATGTCAGTGGGGAAGTGGGAGATGTCAGCGTGGAAATGGAAGATGTCAGTGGGGAAGTGGAAGTAGAAGAGGTAAGTGGAGAAGTGGAAGATGTAAGTGGAGAAGTGGAAGATGTCAGTGGGGAAGTGGGAGATGCCAGTGGAGAAGTAAAAGATGTCAGTGGGGAAGTGGAAGTAGAAGAAGTAAGTGGGGAAGTGGAAGATGTCAGTGGAGAAGAGGAAGATGCCAGTGGGGAAGTGGAAGATGTCAGTGGACAAGTGGAAAATGTCAGTGGACAAGTGGAAGATGTCAGTGGAAAAGTGGAAGATGTCAGTGGGGAAGTGGAAGATGTCAGTGGGGAAGTGGAAGATGTCAGTGGAGAAGTGGAAGTAGAAGAGGTAAGTGGAGAAGTGGAAGATGTCAGTGGAGAAGTGGAAGATGTCAGTGGAGAAGTGGAAGATGTTAGTGGGGAAGTGGGAGATGTCAGTGGGGAAGTGGAAGTAGAAGAGGTAAGTCGAGAAGTGGACGATGTCAGTGGAGAAGTGGAAGATGTCAGTGGGGAAGTGAAAGATGTCAGTGGGGAAGTGGAAGTAGAAGAGGTAAGTAGAGAAGTGGAAGATGTAAGTGGAGAAGTGGAAGATGTCAGTGGGGAAGTGGGAGATGCCAGTGGAGAAGTAAAAGATGTCAGTGGGGAAGTGGAAGTAGAAGAAGTAAGTGGGGAAGTGGAAGATGTCAGTGGAGAAGAGGAAGATGCCAGTGGGGAAGTGGAAGATGTCAGTGGACAAGTGGAAAATGTCAGTGGACAAGTGGAAGATGTCAGTGGAAAAGTGGAAGATGTCAGTGGGGAAGTGGAAGATGTCAGTGGGGAAGTGGAAGATGTCAGTTGGGAAGTGGAAGTAGAAGAGGTAAGTGGAAAAGTGGATGATATTAGTGGAGAAGTGGAAGATGTAAGTGGGAAAGGGGAAGATGTCAGTGGGGAAGTGGAAGATGTCAGTGGGGAAGTGGAAGATGTCAGTGGAGAAGTGGAAGTAGAAGAGGTAAGTGGAGAAGTGGAAGATGTCAGTGGAGAAGTGGAAGATGTCAGTGGAGAAGTAGAAGATGTCAGTCGAGAAGTACAAGATGTCAGTGGAGAAGTGGAAGATGTCAGTGGAAAAGTGGAAGATGTCAGTGGAGAAGTAGAAAATGTCAGTGGAGAAGTACAAGATGTCAGTGGAGAAGTGGAAGATGTCAGTGGGGAAGTGGAAGTAGAAGAGGGAAGTGGAGAAGTGGGAGATGTCACTGGAGTAGTGGAAGATGTCAGTGGGGAAGTGGAAGATTTCAGTGGAGAAGTGGAAGATGTCAGTGGGAAAGTGGAAGATGTAAGTGGAGAAGTGGAAGATGTCAGTGGGGAAGTGGAAGATGTCAGTGGGGAAGTGGAAGATGTCAGTTGGGAAGTGGAAGTAGAAGAGGTAAGTGGAAAAGTGGATGATATTAGTGGAGAAGTGGAAGATGTAAGTGGGAAAGGGGAAGATGTCAGTGGGGAAGTGGAAGATGTCAGTGGGGAAGTGGAAGTAGAAGAGATAAGTGGAGGAGTGGAAGATGTCAGTGAAGAGGTGGAAGTAGAAGAAGTAAGTGGGGAAGTGGAAGATGTCAGTGGGGAAGTGGAAGATGTAAGTGGAGAAGTGGAAGATGAAAGTGGGAAAGGGGAAGATGTCAGTGGGGAAGTGGAAGTAGAAGATGTAAGTGGAGAAATGGAAGATGTAAGTGGCGAAGTGGAAGATGTCAGTGGAGAGGTGGAAGATGTCAGTGGGGAAGTGGAAGATGTCAGTGGAGAAGTGGAAGATGTCAGTGGGGAAGTGGAAGATGTCAGTGGAGAAGAGGAAGATGTCAGTGGGGAAGTGGAAGATGTCAGTGGGGAAGTGGGAGATGTCAGTGGGGAAGTGGGAGATGTCAGTGGGGAAGTGGAAGATGTCAGTGGGGAAGTGGGAGATGTCAGTGGAGAAGTGGAAGATGTCAGTGGGGAAGTGGAAGATGTCAGTGGGGAAGTGGAAGATGTAAGTGGAGAAGTGGAAGATGAAAGTGGGAAAGGGGAAGATGTCAGTGGGGAAGTGGAAGTAGAAGATGTAAGTGGAGAAATGGAAGATGTAAGTGGCGAAGTGGAAGATGTCAGTGGAGAGGTGGAAGATGTCAGTGGGGAAGTGGAAGATGTCAGTGGAGAAGTGGAAGATGTCAGTGGGGAAGTGGAAGATCTCAGTGGAGAAGTGGAAGATGTCAGTGGGGAAGTGGAAGAAGTCAGTGGGGAAGTGAAGGGTGTCAGTGGAGAAGTGGAAGATGTAAGTGGAGAAGTGGAAGTAGAAGATGTCAGTGAGGAAGTGGAAGATGTTTCTGGAGATGCCGAAGATGGAAGTGTGGATCTAGAAGATGTCAGTGGAGAAGTGGAAGATGTAAGTGGAGAAGTGGAAGATGTTAGTGGAGAAGTAGAAGATGTTAGTGGTGAAGTGGAGGATGTCAGTGGGGAAGTGGAAGATGTAAGTGGAGAAGTGAAAATAGAAGATATAAGTGGAGAAGTTGAAGATGTAAGTGGGGAAGTAGAAGATGTCAGGGGGGAAGTGGAAGATGTCAGTGGGGAAGTAGAAGATGTTTCTGGAAAAGGTGAAGATGTCAGTGGGGAACTGGAGGTAGAAGATGTCAGTGGAGAAGTGGAAGATGTAAGTGGGGAAGTAGAAGATGTCAGTGGGGAAGTGAAAGTGGAAGTTGTCAGTGGAGAAGTTGAAGATGTCAGTGGAGAAGTGGAAGATGTCAGTGGGGAAGTGGAAGATGTCAGTGGGGAAGTTATGGAGGTTTCTGGAGAAGTACAAGGTGTCAGTGGAGAAGTTGAAGATGTCAGTGGAGCAGTAGAAGATGTCAGTTGGGAAGTGGAAGATGTAAGTGGAGAAATAGATAATGTTAGTGGGGAAGTTGAAGATGGCAGTGGAGAAATGGGAGGTGTAAGTGGGAAAGTGGAAGATATAAGTGGGGAAGTGGAAGATGCCAGTGGACAAGTTGAAGTGGAAGATGTAAGTCGGGAAGAGGTAGATTTCAGTGGAGTAGTTGAAGAAGTTTCTGGAGATAGGGGAGAAGTCGAAGAAGTTTCTGGAGATGTTGAAGATGTAAGTGGGGACGTGGAAGATGTCAGTGGGGAAGTGGAAGATGTGAGTAGAGAAGTGGAAGTTGAAGATGTCAGTGGAGAATTGAAAGTAGAAGATGTTAGTGGAGAAGTGGAAGATGTCAGTGGAGAAGTGGAAGATGTCAGTGGAGAAGTGGAAGATGTTAGTGGGGAAGTGGGAGATGTCAGTGGGGAAGTGGAAGTAGAAGAGGTAAGTCGAGAAGTGGACGATGTCAGTGGAGAAGTGGAAGATGTCAGTGGGGAAGTGAAAGATGTCAGTGGGGAAGTGGAAGTAGAAGAGGTAAGTGGAGAAGTGGAAGATGTCAGTGGGGAAGTGGGGGATGTCAGTGGGGAAGTGGAAGATGTCAGTGGGGAAGTGAAAGTAGAAGAGGTAAGTGGAGAAGTGGAAGATGTCAGTGGAGAAGTGGAAGATGTCAGTGGGGAAGTGGAAGATGTCAGTGGGGAAGTGGAAGTAGAAGAGGTAAGTGGAAAAGTGGAAGATGTCAGTGGGGAAGTGGGAGATGTCAGTGGGGAAGTGGAAGATGTCAGTGGGGGAGTGGAAGATGTCAGTGGGGAAGTGGAAATAGAAGAGGTAAGTGGAAAAGTGGAAGATGTCAGTGGGGAAGTGGGAGATGTCAGTGGGGAAGTGGAAGATGTCAGTGGGGGAGTGGAAGATGTCAGTGGGGAAGTGGAAATAGAAGAGGTAAGTGGAGAAGTGGAAGATGTCAGTGGGGAAGTGGGAGATGTCAGTGGGGAAGTGGAAGATGTCAGTGGGGGAGTGGAAGATGTCAGTGGGGAAGTGGAAATAGAAGAGGTAAGTGGAGAAGTGGAAGATGTCAGTGGGGAAGTGGGAGATATCAGTGGAGAAGTAGAAGATGTCAGTGTAAAAGTGGAAGATCTCAGTGGGGAAGTGGAAGATGTGAGTGGGGAAGTGAAAGACGTAAGTGGAGAAATAGAAGAAGTTTCTGGAGATTTTGAGCATGTAAGTGGGGACGTGGAAGATGTCAGTGGAGAAGTGGAGGAAGTTGAAAACATTTCTGGAGAGGCTGAAGATGTACCTGAGGAAATGGAAGATGTTAGTGGAGAAGTGGAAGATGTCAGTGGAGAAGTAGAAGATGTCAGTGGGGAAGTGGAAGTAGAAGAGGTAAGCGGAGAAGTGAAAGATGTCAGTGGGGAAGTGGAAGATGTCAGTGGAAAAGTGGAAGATGTCAGTGGAAAAGTGGAAGATGTCAGTGGTGAAGTGGAAGATGTCAGTGGGGAAGTGGAAGTAGAAGATGTAAGTGGGGAAGTGGGAGATGTCAGTGGAGAAGTAGAAGATGTCAGTGGAAAAGTGGAAGATGTAAGTGGTGAAGTGGAAGATGTCAGTGGGGAAGTTGAAGAAGTTTCTGGAGATGTTGAACATGTAAGTGGGGAAGTGGGAGATGTCAGTGGGGAAGTGGAAGATGTGAGTGGGGAAGTGGAAGATGTCAGTGGGGAAGTGGAAATAGAAGAGGTAAGTGGAGAAGTGGAAGATGTCAGTGGAGAAGTAGAAGATGTCAGTGGAAAAGTGGAAGATGTAAGTGGTGAAGTGGAAGATGTCAGTGGGGAAGTTGAAGAAGTTTCTGGAGATGTTGAACATGTAAGTGGGGAAGTGGAAGATGTCAGTGGGAAAGTGGAAGATGTGAGTGGGGAAGTGGAAGACGTAAGTGGAGAAATAGATGAAGTTTCTGGAGATTTTGAGCATGTAAGTGGGGACGTGGAAGATGTCAGTGGAGAAGTGGTGGAAGTTGAAAACATTTCTGGAGAGGCTGAAGATGTACCTGGGGAAATGGAAGATGTGAGTGGGGAAGTAGACGTAGAAGATGTCAGTGGGGAAGTTGAAGTAGAAGATGGAAGTGGAGAAATGGAAGATGTAAGTGGGGACGTGGAAGATGTAAGTGGAGAAGTTGAAGAAGTTTCTGGAGATATTGAAGATGTCAGTGGGGATGTGGAGGATGTAAGTGGGGAAGTGGAAGATGTCAGTGGAAAAGTGGAAGATGTCAGCGGGGAAGTGGAAGATATAAGTGGTGAAGTACAAGTGGAAGATGTAAGTGGAGAAGTTGAAAAAGTTTCTGGAGTTGTTGAAGATGTAAGTGGGGACGTGGAAGATGTCAGTGGAGAAGTGGAAGATGTCAGTGGGGACGTTGAAGACGTTTCTAGAGAGGTTGAAGATGTAAGCGGGGAAGTTGAAGATGTAAGTGGGGAAGCTGAAGATGTTAGTAACGAAGAAGATGTTAGTGGGGAATTGAAAGATATTAGCGGGGAAATGGAAGTAGAAGATATAAGTGGGAAAGTGGAAGATATCAGTGGAGTAGTGGAAGATGTCAGTGGAGAAGAGGAAGATGTAAACAGAGAAGTGGAAGATGTGTCGGGGGAGGTGGAAGATGTAAGTGGAGAATCGGAAGAGGCTGATGTTAGTGGGGAAGTGGGAGTAGAAGATGTAAGTGGCGAATCTGAAGTGGAAGATGTGAGCGGAGACGTGAAGGATATTAGTGGGGAAGTAGAAGAAATGTCTAAGGAAGTGGAAGAATCTTTTGGGGAAGTAGAAGATTCGTCTGAGGAATCGTCTAAGGAATCCTCTGAAGAATTAGAAGAATCGTCGGATGAAGATGAAGAATCGTCTGAGGAATCCTCTGAAGAACTAGAAGAATCGTCGGGTGAAGGTGAAGAATCGTCTGAGGAAGTAGTAGAACCGTCTGAGGAAATTGTAGAGGTATCTGGAGAAGTATCAGAGGAAATAAGTGTTTACGAAGGATCTGGAGAAGATCTTGGTGTTACTGAAGAGACAACTGTAGAAGTTGTAGTGACAGATGATGCCGTTACTTCAACTGTCAAACCGTCCAAGGAAGAGGGGGAAGAAGTGGCGTCCGGTGACGAAGAGGATGGTTCGGGTGATGTGGAATCTGTAGACGTCACCCCGACCACATCGGGTGATGGTGACAGCGTAGAACCTTGTGAAGAAGACACGGACAGCGTCAGTGGAGCAGGCTCTTTAATTTCAAGCTTAGAAGTGATGAAAGGAATGCTTGAAGGAAAGGATAAGAAGAAGAAATGCAGGCCAACGTCACAAATGTTAGAGAATACCACTGAGTTAACGACAAGAGTTACTACCTCTTCGTCTGCCACTGAGACCTCGACTGTCTCTGTGGATGGAATAACCACGACTGTGTTTTCGACCGAAGGAGATGAGAATGTTACAGTCAGTTCAGTTACTCCACTTGACGAGAATGTTACAGTCAGTTCAGTTACTCCACTTGACGAGAATGTTACAGTCAGCAGTTACTCCACTTGACGAGAATGTTACAGTCAGTTCAGTTACTCCATTTGACGAGAATGTTACAGTCAGTTCAGTTACTCCACTTGACGAGAATGTTACAGTCAGTTCAGTTACTCCACTTGACGAGAATGTTACAGTCAGTTCAGTTACTCCACTTGACGAGAATGTTACAGTCAGTTCAGTTACTCCACTTGACGAGAATGTTACAGTCAGTTCAGTTACTCCACTTGACGAGAATGTTACAGTCAGTTCAGTTACTCCACTTGACGAGAATGTTACAGTCAGTTCAGTTACTCCACTTGACGAGAATGTTACAGTCAGTTCAGTTACTCCACTTGACGAGAATGTTACAGTCAGTTCAGTTACTCCACTTGACGAGAATGTTACAGTCAGTTCAGTCACTCCGAGTGATGAGAATATAACAGTCAGCTCAAGAACTCCAGGTGATGATGTACAAGTAAATGTAACTTCAGCAGGTTTTAATGAAACCTCTTCCCCTAGTGTTGGTAACGTTACGGATCTCACCTCAGCAGTTACTCTGTTGAGTACAATAAATACCACGACAGAACCTGGAGTTATTGTTGAATCGGTTGGCAGTGATAAATCCAACGCTACTTTTAGCAGGGATTATTTGACAACAGAAGTAACGGACAACCAGACAGATACTACGAAAATAACGGCAGCAGCAACAGCAGGGAAATTAACAACAGTGACTACCATGCAAATACTGACCAAGGCCTGGGAACGAACAACAAAACAACCTAAAACGACAACAACGGCTTCGCTCCTAACGAAGGAATGGGAGAGGATCACACCTCATGACTACACGAAAAGGACGTACAGAGTTGAAAATACGACATCTGTTGTGTCAGAGAACGTCACCACAGAAAGGCAAGAGAATGACACGAGTATTTCCACCACAGATTTTGTTACCCCAGACACTGCAAACTTCACGTCATACTCTGAAAATAGAACAGAGCCCACAACAGAAACCTTTACAACGTCTGGAGTAGTAAATTTTACAACTACAGTGGTGGTAGAAAACGTTACAGCCTTTGATTCAGAGAATGCTACAATACCCAAGACAGAAATCTCCACAACTATGGAGGTAGACAGTCCTTCACTGGCGTTCGAAAATGTGACAGAAGAAGCCATTGAGAGTTCAACATCGGATCAACCACCCCCACCCACAAAGAAACGGGAACAAGAAATATCTACAGACTCAACGTTAGGTGTGGCAACTAAGGAATGGGAGAGGGTGACCACTCAATCAACTACAGGTGTTCCAACTAAGGAGTGGGAGAAAGTCGATCTTACCACAGTACCTGAAGACACAGAACGGGTAACCAAGGACTGGGAAAAGGCAGCAACATCTACTGATTTAACCCCAGGTGTTCCAACAAAGGAATGGGAAAAGATGACAACTCAAGGCACACCAAGCGTGGCTACCAAAGAGTGGGAGAGAACGTCCACCCAAACTCCCACAGCTGTTCCCACCAAAGAATGGGAGAAATCATCCACCCAAGCTTCCACTGCCGTCCCCACCAAAGAATGGGAGAAATCATCCACCCAAGCTTCCCCTGCCGTCCCCACCAAAGAATGGGAGAAATCTTCTGCCCAAGCTTCCCCTGCCGTCCCCACCAAAGAATGGGAGAAATCTTCCACCCAAGCTTCCACTGCCGTCCCCACCAAAGAATGGGAGAAGATCTCCACTGAAGTCACCTCAGCCGCTGCCACTGAAGTATCGGAAAAACTATCTTCTGGAGCAACCTCCATCGTTCCCACTAAGGAGTGGGAGAAAATGGGCGTTTCCACGACACCTTCGGCAACTACCCAAGACACAGGCCTGGTAACAAAGGAATGGGAAAAGAGGACCTCAGTCGTCGCCACAAAGGATTGGGAGAAAGTTGATTTATCAACTGAACCTCCGGCAACCACTAAAGACACGTCCGATTCGACAGACAGGGTCACTGAAGTGACTTCTGAAGTACCAAAACTCAAAATAGAAACGCATGCTGTAGTCCAGGCGACTGTTAGACCCGATGTTGGTCATGATAACGAGACAATGGCATCGACGGATGAGCCATCCACACCAAGGAAGATGGACACAAGCATCGCACCCACGGAGGAAGACGACCAAGAAAAGACTATAGGAGTAGAGACATACGTACCCGCCAGCGCTACCCCGCAAGTTGAATCTTCTGTTGCTCCCCCAGACGACACGGAAAGACCTAAAAATGCTTCAGATTTGCCTGGAATTCGCGTGGAAACACATATGGTGGAATCAGTGACGCTTCAGCCTATTTATAATATGACGACTGGCCGTGACAGTAGTGAAGGGGACAGTGCAAGTACAGGCGCTCCGGGACTGGACGAATCAGCAACACCCATACAGAGAATCTCTGACATAACCACGGATGATATCACCAGTGATTCCTCGTCATCAAGCTCGGACGTGCCTAGTTCTGACCAAACAACTTCACCCACTCCACTCGCAAACAAGACTGTTGCATCAACCTCATTTCCTGATGCAACCATTTATAACTTAACGACAGTGCCCACTTACGAAACAAATGAAAATACCACGACATCTCAAGAAGTTGGGCCTGAGACATTCACACTAAATTTAGAAACCCATGGCGTAGAATTGATCACTCTGAAACCTCAAGAAGAGGAGGAAGCTGTATCTTCTGAAATTGAAACATCAGGGAGTCCCTTACAAACATCCACAGCCGTGGGCACACCAACATCGTCACTCGTTACTGAGAGCACTTCGGATATCAGTAGTCCCAGCACACATGTCCCTGGCCCTGAGATCAAAAACATCTCTATTGACCTAGAAACCCATGGAGTTCAAACACTGACCTTGAAGCCTCACGAAGAGAAAACTACTACTACTTCTAGTCCAGACGCCAGTGTCATAGATACGGACATTCCGGGGTACAACACAACAGTTGTGCCAGCAGCTACGTTCACAGATACTGTCTCCGAAAATACAACGGATGTCTACGACAGAGTAACGATCAGTGAGATCTCTAACACAACACTGGACGCACCACAGCAGCCCAGTGTAGGTGTCCATTCAACTGAAATTCCAGCTACAACAGACTCAACCGAGATACCGATGATACAGGTGAAAACTCACCAGGTAGAAGAAGTCACTTTAAAACCCCACACAGCGTCGACCGAAATTCCTACTTCTGACTCTGGAATTATCAGGCTGGAGACGCACGCTGTAGAAGACGTGACACTACCGCCAGCATTTTCAACGTCCCCTGAAGATACCGAAACATCTACAGTAAATACCGAAGACTGGTCTAGCACTGAAGAAATTCTTCTCAAGGTGGAAACGGATAGCGTTGTCGAAGTCACTGTGAAACCTCATACGGATGCCGCTACGACTGAGCCAGACAGACAAACGTCTGACGACGTGACTGTTTCCACATTATCCCCTGACAATGTGACCTTTTCCACTTCATCCCCTGACAATGTGACCTTTTCCACTTCATCCCCTGACAATGTGACCTTTTCCACTTTATCCCCTGACAACGAGACCTTTTCCACTTTATCTCTTGATAATGTGACATTTGACACAGTGTCCCCTGGAAATGTCACCTTTGACACAGTATCCCCTGACAACTTGACCTTTTCAACAGCGTACACTGACAATGTGACCTTAACCTCAGTGGCCCCAGACAACGCAACCTTTTCTACAGTGTCGCCGGACAACGTGACCTTTGACACAGTGTCCCCTGACAACGTGACCTTTGACACAGTGTCCCCTGACAACGTGACCTTTTCTACAATGTCGCCTGGTAACGTGACCTTTGACACAGTAACCCCTGGCAACGTAACATTTTCCACATTACCCCCTGACAACGTGACCTTTGACACGGTAACCCCTGACAACTTAACATTTTCCACATTACCCCCTGAAAATGCGACGTTTGACACAGTATCCCGTGACAATGTGACCTTTGACACAGTGTCCGTAGACAACGTGACCATTTCAACAGCATCCCCTGGCAATGTGACTTTTGACACTGATTTCTCTGACTATTCAACGACAAGCACACCAGACCCAGACAGAGTAACCTCTGACACATCGGCTAGCCTTGATAATGCCACGTCTGCCCGCGACAATGTAACGTTTTATACATCAACCCCTGGACCTCTGACCCCTGAGAACGTGACCTCTCGTTCGTTGACCTCTAATACTGAAACAAAGTTTTCAAACACCCCCATTCCCACCGAGCCATCAACTCCGGAAGGACCTCGGATCGGGGTCGAGACCCACCAAGTCGAAGAAGTGACGGTGAGAGCTCATACTCAAACTACTTTGAGCACTACTGCAGCTACGACTGCGCTGACTTCTACAACAGAACGCGGGAGCATGGCACAGGGAACACTTTCAAACACAACGTCAACGGCCGGTGGACTTATTGGGGTGGAGACCCACCAGGTTCACGAAGTGAGCGTCAAACCGCACGTGCAAATAGAGTTGAACGATACAGATAGTACGACGACTGACAGCACGCCTAGCGCGACTGAGAAATTGATTGTGGCAAAGACACATCACGTCGAGGAGGTGACCCTGCAGCCTCACACGACGGCAGGCGAGCACATGACGACACAAACAGCACAGATTACAACAGGAGCAAGTGGGGAATCTAGTGTGTCCACCACCACTGGATCAACTGTAGAAAAAGAGAATTTTACTGCGTCTACAAACGCGACGGTGAGTAACAAGACGGAGGGTGTTGCATCGACTACGGAAGATCCAAATATTTTCAGCTCCAGTTTAGAAACAGTGGTTTCTTGGTTCCATAACACGTTGTCGACTGTGTCTCCAGAAGAGCATTCCGTTGAAAATGCCACTACTCCGAGTTCAAACACCACAAGAGAAACAAATGACACAACTCAAACCACCGCACCACCATTTTCTGATGAGCAAAACTCAACAACAAAACCAACACCTATCACCACCCAGCAACCAACCAACATATTCTCCACTATATCCACCCTTATCTACAACACCGTCTCAACTATTCTGGAAGAAGACTCAACAACTTCTACAACTCCTTCTACTGCCACAACAGCTGCACCAACTGTCACAAAAGAAGACTCGGACGCTAACAAGACATCGGGAGGAGGGTCAATTGGATACGAGACAAAGAAACCAGCAATTATAGCGGCCATCAAAGTCACCACTCGCAGAGATGGTGAGAAAACGGTTCGCTGGCACGGCAAGTCAACACCTCGGAAAACATCCATCTTAGAAACACTGGCACCGTCCAAAGACAAAAAAACAGAAAGTCCCGAAGTTAGCGCGCCTGTTACACCTGCTCCCACAAAGTTGTGGTACACTACTACCACTAAAGATGGCGTTGTCGCGAAAACTACAGATATGACGACTCCACAGGTTCTTACCAAATGGCCCATGAGCACGAAGAGTACCAAAAGGCCACCCATTTACCGAGGACCCCCAAGAGGGGTCATTATCCTTTCCCCGAACAAAATGGTGGCGTATCCTTCTGCCACCCTGCCGCCAATTGTCTATGTTCCCATTAAGCGTCCGGACGGCTCTGTGACGCTTGTGCCTGGAATACTTGTGCCTGACAGAGGAGTTACGGGGCGTCCTTTCGTCACCGGTATACCAAACAACAAAGACGTATTTTATTACACCGGAAAACCTGGTCCTGACGGGGGAGTGCATCTGTACCGAGTCACGAAGAAAACTCTGTCCGAAGGCACGGTAGAGGAGAGGCCGGGAGGGGAGACAGAAGTGATTAAGGTGTACCCGAAGGGAGGTGTGCCTCTAGGGGACGACGGGAAGGAGCCTGACCCGACCCACGTCAAACTGACCGTCTACAAAGTGGTCAAAAATGTCATGGAGGTCAGTAACAACACAGCTCTCGAGGCGTACGTTCGAGCCAGGATAATGCTTCGTAAGACGCTGAAACAGCTGGCCAACTTGTGGAAACAGTGTGTAAAGGGCGTGGTTGAGGTGGTCTATGTCCCCAGTAAACAAGGCATTGCTGATTACAGCGCTAAACTGACGGTCGCTTACAAAAACATACAGAAGGCTTACGTATACGGTTGCAATGTATTACGTAAAACGTACGAAACAACCTCACTAAAGCTAGCGGACTATTTCAACTGTGTATCGAATAAATACAAAACGACGAATAATTACTATTACGACATTTTAGAGGGAGCCAAAGTTTCAAAGAGAAGGAAACGGTGAACCGAACAAGTCTACAACTGGACAAATCGGATGCTGTGAATTGGGGTGCGAGAAAGGTCAGCTGGTGTTGCGAGAGGTGGTGTTTTACTATCTCTGCAAATGTTAAACACTGAGATAACTGAGATAGGGTTCCAAATTAATTCAAGAGTGGCGCGTAAGGGGAAAGGATGAGGGAAAGGGAGAGGGGCGTCATATCAAGGTGTTGATCAGCTACCAAAAAATAAAATGTTCTGTTAAATTGTTGGAAACTGATCCCCCCCCCCCCCCCCCCCCTTTAATACAAATTGTCTACTTTGCATATTGCGTTTCAAATTTCAGAAGGTTTTTTTAATGTGTTACTCAATCACAAAATTATCAAGAAAAGATGAAAAGAAGTGAAAGAAAAACGTACTGTTTTACTGTTTTATTTTTCACTTAAAAAACAAAAACAACAACAACAACAAGGGAATCTAATCTTTTATGCCGGTGGTAAAGGGGTTAGAAGTAACATTTTGGCAAACCCTTGTTAGTTTACTCTTCGAATGTATAAACAGCTACCGATGTGAAAATAGCATTATCGTCAAAAGTGTAACTTACAGATTCATTTTTTAAAACTTGTCCATTCCTTTCTTATCGCTTGAACTACTTTCGAAAGCCTGTCGCCACAAAACCGTTGTCTCGCACTCGGACCCTTTACAAGGCCCTTGAAACAAAACAAATGACGTCTACTCTGTTGGCTTTTTGTCTTATGTATTTGTTTGTTTTTGTTGTTGTTGTTTTTTTCATTGTGTGCCTTCGACGTTTTAAACAAGGAATGATCACCTGAGTTTGTTGAACATGCAAAATTGCCAGAAAACAGTGACATTTTCAATCAGCTTATATATGAAAATAAAAACTTGATCAGACAGACGGACAGACCGACAGACAGACACACACACTGACACGCAGTCAGACACATAGACAGACACACAGACAGATACCTAGATACATAGTTAGTGTAACCAAAAAAAAGTAATAAATATCATTTCGATGACTTTCTAGGCCTAATCCAAACTAATTAACAAATGCCAAATCGACTGTTGGTGAATTGACATTAACACACCTCTTCCCATAGAAATATGCACCTTTCTGCATGTGAATTCGTTGTTGCTTACGACACGATCCGGAATATGCATTGTTATTGCAGTCAGTTTTGTAGCTTGGTTTTGTTCTTCTGTTTTTGTGAATAGCAGGCATTGTTTTTGTTGTTTCTCCACAGGCATATTATAAATAGCCTGTGTTTTGTCTCTTAAGTAACCTCACGCATTCCTGGACTATTCCCAATAATTATGTGATTGTAAACATTGTTACTCCCTCATTGGTACCATTGAGATCATTTCAGAGACAGGTTTTCCTAGCATTTGAATCATTTACTTTCATTTAAAGAGTAGGGTTCTTAATAGGTTTCTCCAACTGTGTTCACTGACCAAAGCTGGTGCAAGTTGGGTAGGCTACCACCTTTTAAAAACTAGTTACACTATTAGTCATATCACGTGTATTTTCATTGTTTTTCAGTTTGTTGTGTTATGTAATTTGGAAACTAATCATTTTTATTAAAGAATAGGTTATCGACTTCATGATTATAAGAAATTGCTGAGAGTCTCTAAAATAAGGAACAGCTAGGGAATATTTAAACCTGTTACTTGAGTTGGTATACCATATATTATATTTATAAGTGATATAATTGACGTAGGTCTTGAGGCCTCATCTAGTTTATATCCGTCACAATGCATCTGCAAGATTCAAAATTAGCATTAAGTAGGCATATGCATGTGTTTAGCGGCTGATTGAAGGTGTGGCTGCATGATAGGCTCTACTCTTTTACTCTCCGTCTCTGTTGTTTCTGTCTACCAAACTTACTTCTTCCCAGCACTAAATGACCTTTTTGAGTCGATGTGCTAATCTTCACTCAAAAACTCGTTGGTATTTTTACTTTCATTCCTTACTTCTTCTGTCTGTCCTTTCCTGCATAAAGAGTGTTCCACTTCCTCTACAACTACTACGATTAGTAATGTTTTCCGTATGTCTCGTCACTCTTTGCTCCATCATTTAACAATTGCACAATGGTAATTATTTAAATAATATTACTATAAAATATATTATGTTGTAATAATGCCAGAAAGGTTAGTTTTTTGTCAATGTTATACTACATGCAAAACGCCTATACCGGTTTGTCACAATTATGTTCATGGATAATTTATATTATAATCATTAACATCATCGCGGCCGTATGCTTAATGTAAATAAAGCGTATCATTATTTGTGGCTGATTTATTCTGATTTTGTTGGGGTTTTTGGAAAATGTTTAAAACGCTAACCACCAGCGTCTGAGGTTTATCGGTTAGGCGTTTCGCCGTCGCACGCACGAGGCCCGAATTCGATTCCAAAGTTGGGATAATTTTTATCGAGTATCTCGGTCTTTTTGCTGGGATGTTGCATCTCTTTCAGCCTGCGTTGGCGTTCACAAGACTAGGTCGAAGCCGCCTCCTAAATGATTTAACTTGAGTCGATGAGGGCGAAAAAAGCATGTACTTTAAAAAGAAGAATCCACACAACATAATAATGTAAATCATCTTGGAACCAGGCTGATCCGCCAGAACCTGACAAAGCTGACACGTCAGGTGTTCTTTAGTTTTGGTAAACTTTACGACCCTTGCAACGCAATAAGGTCATACATGTGTCGAAAATTAGAGGTATTACAAAAGAGTAACAAACACATAAAAAAGAGGGGGAGATAAGGACGATAGACGATTGATGAGAGAGAAGGAGCAAGCTGCACCAGAGCACCCGCCAACCACCCACTATGAGGTGTGAATGACTTAAAAGTGTTGCTTGTGTGATCGAGACTGTTCTATGTTGTCATAAAGACAAGAACAGACCAGCAATTAGGAGGCGGGCTGCTCCGACCGTGCCTGCTCCTCAGGTATGACACCGGAACTGAGTGGGTACGGCATCCCAGCAGACAGACGCAGACATTCGGCAAAATATTTCCTGTTTTAGTGTTTTAGTAAGAGTTTTACGGCACTTGCAACAGTTAGGTCATATAAGTCCCGGAGATTAGAGGTGTTACAAGAGAGTAACTAACACCAAAAAAGAGGGAGAGATAAGGAGGATAGACGTATACAGAGCTCCCGACAACAACCCATCAACATATGCCCCCCCCCCACCCCCGAAAAAAACACAATCGCACAAGTGGGGTTTTTTTGGGGGGGGGGGGGGGGGGGTTGGGGTTGTTTTTGTTTTGTTGTTTGTTTTTGGGGGGTGCGTACTTCTGTCAAGAGCCTAATAGTTACCAAATAAAAGCTGGCCCGATGAAAAAAAAAGAAGTAGAAGTCTCACAATACATGCATCCCCATCGACACTCTTTAGATCATGTCAAGTAGCCTGGCCGCTTCAACAGGGATACAGAGGCCAAGTAGAAACACAGAGATACTCGATTAAAAGTTTCCCCACACGGAAATCGAACTCAACCAAACGTCGTCCGTCTCTCGGGAAATTTTCCTAACATAGCATTTCCTTTCTCTTAATGTCTCTCTTTAACGTAGATGTTTTTTCACCCCATGGCACAATCTAGATAATTTAGGAGGCGGGCTTTGACTCTGCCTATAAGGGCCAATCAACACTAAGGGGGATACAATATTCTAGCAGAATGACCGAGATACTCGATAAAAATTCTACCCATACAGGAATAGAACTAGGGTCTCCTGCGAAAGACAGCGAAGCGCCTAACCACAAGACGCCAATGCAATTTATTTTTATCTTCATATTTCTCAAATAATATTAATGATCAATTCTCGATATACCATAACTAAGACAACAACTATCGATATAAAGCAACCAATTGCTAATAAGCAGGAATAGATATGCTGCCCCTTTCATTGCTGTCAGGCTTTATATGAGGAAAGAACTCCGAATTCAACATCCATCTTTAACTGGGACCAAGCTGAGTGAGTCAGTGAGTCAGTGGAGAGCTTAGAAATTTCTCAAAGCAATACAAGTTCAGGGACACCTCAACAAGGATTCAAACCTAGGTCACTAACATTCTGCTGTACGTTGACAAAACACCTTTTCTTATCAAAGCAGTTTCGAGATATCAACAATTTTCGGCTTCCTTAAAATATCTGAACTATCATCAACAGTTGATCTCGAACAGGAAGAGAATATCACCCCCCATGCTCAACAGATATTGTATTGTGAGAAAACCGAAAATCATTGATGTCTTGACATTGCTCTGAATAAGAAAAAAAAAAGGCGTTATATCAGCGTATGGCACCATTGTAATTGTAGTTCAAGCATGTTAAGTACTGAACTACCCCGATCATCAGCGTGGCACTCAGATCTTTCACACAAGCAAACAGTAAATAAGTGAAGGAGAAAACAACCTTAGTTTATGAAGCTTGTATTCAAATTCTTCAGTTGACAAAAAAGGGATTCAAATCTAGTCACACCAAAAAGAACAAAAACAATCCAGAATCTTTTAAATAAGATTGTTTGGTTAGCAATTCAAAAACATACAGCAAACATGCAAACCATGGCGCTCAGTAAACATTTTGAAAATCAGAATACTTAAAAAGGGGGATAAAAAGTACTTCAACACCAAAGAATTTTCTTTAAAAAAAAAAAAAGTATAAAAGAACACTCTAACAATGTTTTTCGTTTTGACTCACATCCTTGTGGATTCAGTCAAAGGTTATTGAAAAATGTATAATGTCTACAGCTTTTAGACAGCAAACTTACTAAACTGAGACATAATTCCTGAAAATAATATAATGATTCTTTGATAGAGATCTGACAAACAGGCAACAAAACAATCGGCTTGAAAAGTACACAATTGTCCCGAGCAGAGAGTATATAAAACAAAAATTAATGTTTTAATACTGGGGGTATAGTAATTAAGATAAGGTAATCCTTTATTGTTCTTGTCGGAAAGCTTATAAAGTAAGTAAACTTTACCATTTGTGAGGCAACGTAGTGAAATCAGGCGCTCGACAAAATAATGAAATCACAGAAATCTGCATTGTTCCGCTTGTTTTGCCATTTTTTTTCTCTAATTTTTGTTGTTTTCCTCAACACCTTTCAGACTATTGAAAAAAAACGTTTCTGAAAAGATTTCAGTGAAAAAAGTTGATAAAAGGCACAAAAAATGTCACTCATTTAATTTGCTTCCAAGGTTTCTCAGTCTATATAAGAAACCAGAGTCAGCCATTTTCTCACTAATTTTACCTCTGAAATCAGGCGACCCCCACCTCATTCTATTGCAAATATCTCAACATCTGTTCAAGGTAGACGGGTAATGTTTTATCAGAAGCAAGACAAACTAACAAGTTTATAATGGTACCAATAACTCCTTATACCCAAAAATTGATGAGTGCCTGATTCCACCATGTCGTAACACATTTGGTAATTTCCATTCGGAAGGAAACATGGCCAAGATTATTCATTCAGACCCCATCCGATTCTTGCTCAAACTTCTGTGGGGGTTTTTTGTCTTAGCACAATCGCTTGCAAAAAAAACAACCTCTTTTGAAAAGCTATATCAGAATGAATCGAGTTCATGGAGCGATAGGGGTCTTGACTGAGTCTAACTTTGAACTAAAAACCTCTACCTCACCAGTATTCGCAAGGCAATTTTAGGAACACCAAAACATGACATATTCCTTGGCGTTAGTGAAATGCAAAACAAAACTGAATTTCAATTCAACCAATATGAAATCAAATGAAACGCTTTCGCAGTTTGAGAGAAGAAAAAAGCTTGTACTTCTACTTTCCCTAGTTAACGAAATTCAGAGATGCTGATATTCGGTTGAAAAAAACAACTCTGTAACTGACAGAAAACAAAGAGAATCACAAGTTGAAGTGAATCAGAAAAAGTGAGAAAAAGATGGAACAGTATGAGGATCATTGGCAGCCTGGGAAGCAATGTCCGTACATTTAGACGCAAGTTAATTAAAGATTCATTTTGCCCCTGCATTCGTTGTTGTAAGAGCTGAACACCCTATCAGACGCAACGTACTGGTATTCATTTACACCGTCATAATATGTAATTGGTCCCGAGTTAAGGAATCCCAGTGAGACTGACAGGAATTGTTTCAGGAGGTGGGGGTTCCAGGAGGTGGGGGAAGAATAATTCTGGCCCTGCTCAGACTCAGAACTCGAACCTCACCCCAGCACATCAAGTTCATCATCTACTCTGCCACAGCGACCACTACTTTATCCTGCTCCTTCACTCAGCACAACTTTTTTTTGTTTGTTCTAGTAGAGGTTTTACGGCGCTCGTAACAGCATGAGGTCATATGAACGCCAAGGGGTGGAAGTCAACAAAGAAGTCCTTACAGGGAATCAGACTTACTCTGCTCACCTCTCTAGCTTTAGCAGCACAAAGTCTGCTTCAACTATCAAGGCACCCCAGAAATAGCGGGTCACAAGAGTGCGACAAACATACAAAAGAAGTAGAGGAAAATGACGATAATAAGGATTAGGAAAAAAAAGGCACCAGTTCCCTGTTGTAGTTCAGGCACAGCTATGCATGACATTGTTAGATCAGCCCATTTACAATTCTACTGTGCACTAAAATGAGAAATGTCCCCCCTTTGGGAAAGGCCTAAAGACACTTCAGCCAGTGGCACCGCCCCGGGGAGTGGCACAACTGGTGGGACCACTCAGAACTTTGTCACCTTGAAAGCTGTACATATACACAGAGCCAAATTTAAATATCAAAGCCTATTTGAAACTAACAGAAACCTCAGCTTGCATTTGTGCTGAGGGCATTAATTCTACAACCAGTGACATGGTATCAAGAAAGGGTTACAAAGTATTTGATGGGAAGTCACAGGGTAAATGATAACCCACTAAAGGTTACAGAATATGCAATGAACATTGTTTTAAAAAATGGTGAGTAACAGAACAAATGATGAACAGTTACAAGTTACTAAGCATAAAATGAATAATGAAAACTGCAATCACAGGGAAAAGAATGGACAGTGTAAGCAATAATGGATTGTCACAGGGTTAAAATAACGTAAAGAAAATCCTTGATGTAATACAGGAGAAGAGATGAGAACCAGAAAAAGTAATGATACAGAGGCAGCAGCAATAAGTAATAAATATGAGGGCTCACTTTGGTATGAGGTCATGGCTTCTAAAACACAGTCAAACCTTGTCATACTGCTCCCTCGCTACAGCCCCAACCCTGATGTGCCATACAAAAACATCTCAACAGCACCAACCTCACCATAAGGTCAGTATTGTCAGGGTCATATACAGTTGGACTTGCTCCAACGACCACCTGTGCACGACAATCTCCTGTCTAAATGACCACTTCCAACCTTGTGATTTATTTTTTTTATTTGTTAATAGTAGAGGGTTTTACGGCGCTCGCAACTGCATAAGGTCATATGAGTGCCAAGGGGTGCGTGTCAACCAAGAAGTCTTTACAGGGAATCAGACTTACTCTGCTCACCTCTCTAGCTTCAACAGCACAAGGTCTGCTTCAACTATCAAGGCACCCAGGAAATAGCAGGTCACAAAAGTGTGACAAACATACAAAAGAAGTACAGGAAAATGACAATAGTGAGGATTAGGAAAGAAAAAGCAGCAGTTCCCTGTTGTAGATCAGGCACAGTTATGAGCGTGACATGAATCAGCCCATTTACAATTCTACTTTGCTTGAACGAGAAATGTCCCCCCTTTGGGAATGGCCTAAAGACACTACAGTCAATGGCACTGCCCCGGGGGTATGTGATTTTTTTTCAAAATTATAATAACACTGTCCAAAGAGGACCACCTGACTAAATGACCATTTTTCTCCGCAAAAATGGGCGGTTGTCTTGTACAGGTTGGACTGTTGTACATCGGTCATTTAGGAGCACATTCATAGCGAGCAGACACGATGCTGGTCCTGCTTCACCCAGGACAAAAAAAATAAGACAAAATCAATACTTTTAAAAAAGTAGGAGAAGAAGAGCAAACCACAACCCTCATCCACCCACTCCCACAGAGTTAGCAGTACAAACAGGTTTGACTGAAAATTTTCTATTTTCCGCAACCATATATCTCAACCCTCTTCCAAAAAAATAAGACCAACAGAGATAATCAGCCACTTTCACCACGCACAATCATCGGCAAAGAAAGGCATACACTTTCGCAATGCACAATCACTAACAATGACAAACAGCCATTGCAGGATCCTCAACATAGAAACACAGCAACTTTCAACAACAGTATCACCAAAGAAGAAAGAAAAACATCCACCATCCATATCACAACACAGATCACTAACAAAGAAAAACAGCCATTTTCACAGCCAGGACCCCCGAATAGTAGTCAGACTCGTCCGTGTCGAACATCAAGTTCGGCAAAACAAGCACATGATACACCATACTTCAATATCTGCCATCTACAAAAGAAGACACAGTGCAATCTGCGCACTTGTCATGAACACATGACACAGCACAAATAGTGCCTGCTGAGTTTGTGAAGCCTGGAGCAATCTTCAGTCACATGGATGCACAACTTGTCTGGTCAGGGAGACAGAATGAGTTATCTATGCAGTCATGTCTCGTGGAATAGTCGGCGTCTGACTCAAATAGTGCCCGTCATGTTCAATAGGTGCAGTCTACTTAACTTCTCTCTTTGGAAAAAGAGAGGCACTGATGGAGATCTGGCATTTTGAGTCCTTCTTCTTCTTTTTTTTCCTTTTTATATTTACAAAGTTACATTAACTACCTAAAATGGGAGAAAAATGAACTAATTTTCTAAAAATGTAGTAAAGCATGGAAAGGTGTTCCCAGATACTGGGCGGAACAGCAAACAGTTTTTCTTATTAAAAAACAAAAAAACAAAAAACAATTTGAACAAAATTCCATGTTGATATGTTCAAATGTTACCAAAGACAAACAGTAAAGACAGGCTATGCTACTAGTGTAAACACTGCACACTAACTAACATTCGACTTCGTTCGCTCAGAAGGTCAAATTAATCCAAGACGGTCACACATATCATGACAGGTAATATAATGCGACAGATAAAAAGTTTATTATAAGAAAAAACACACCCACAAGCAATCACATTCATACCACAGAATGACCAACCCCGTTAACAACACCACCTTTACAATGAAAAAATAAATTGAAGATGACATGCAAAAACCATGAAAAAAGAAAGAAACATATAGATATCATTGTTGACCCAAACCTCGGTCACCCCTATAAACTAAAAGTCACAACACTGTAGACCACACTCAAAAGTATCACAGAAGCAAGGCAAATAAATCAGCTTTCAGATGATACCAATAACTCCCCATGCCCCAAAATTGACTAGCGTCTGATTCCACTGCCCCTGACACAAACATTTCTTACTCAACATGTCTCTTTGATTTGTGTGATACAGTATTAACCTAGATCAGAACTGAGTATACATTTTATAACAAAACTACAGGAATAACTTAGTTTTCTTGTTCTTTTTTATCCTGAAAAAATAACAATGCATCATAAAAGATACAATTCTAGGAGGCCACATTCAACACAACAGACAGCAACCTGCAACACACATTCACTTCTTACTCAACAATTCAAATTAAAATCAAGATAAAAAATGGAACATCTTCAGACAATATTATCAACAGGTTTCCGGTATCAATTTACTTCAGAAACATTTGCTGAGGTCAGGAGACTTTTCTCCCTAACCATAGCCCAGTAGTCAGTGGGGATTGTGTTTACTTACAAACTTCTGACCATGGAAGGAAAGGGTGAATCTGCACTCAGGGAAAAGCTTATCCCTCTCAAAGGGCCACCTAGCCTTTGTGTCCACCATATCAATGTCACTCCAATATCTCCCACAGATGCACAGGACAAAAGGCATATCTTGATCTTCAAACATTTATCAACTTGGATCTCCAAAAATGTTCAAATCCATAGCAGGCCGAACCTAAGTAATTTTATTTTTACAGACTACCTTTCATATGTGCTTTTTTTTTTTTCCACAAGAAAAGTACATTTAAAAAACTAAAAAGCAAATCTATCTCACTGTGATAAAAGCGATATTTATTTGTTCAAATTTTTGCCAATTACTAATTACTTTAATTCCTGCTCAATTATCTCTTTACCTTAATTTATTTTCACCACCCTCATTCACTTGTACTTCAAAACACATAAAACGGAGAGACCAAGAGAGGGAGAAAGAGAGAGAGAGAGAGAGAGAGAGAGAGAGAGAGAGAGAGAGAGAGAGAGAGAGAGAGGGGAGGGGGGGGGGGGGGGGGGAGGGAGAGGCAGAGATAGAAATTTGACATTTCCTGTCTTAGAAAACCTAAGGGATTTACGCTGTTCTTATCAATTAATTCTTGTTCATTGGGACTTGGCTGCCGCTTTCTTTTTCAAGGCTTTCTTCCTCGCACCTTGCATCATTGACATCGACATGGATGCAGGCATGAAGCTATGGACGAATCTCTGAAAAGAAAAGAAATAAAAATTTTTTTCAGAATAATTATCATTACAAATGGATCACTCTAACACAGCATACTTCAATAGCTAAAGGATTTAGTAGAGTGTTTGCATTTCAATATACCAATACATGAATACATAAAGATTAATTAAACTAAATCTCTCTCTTTCTACGACCCCCCACCCCCTCCTCCCCGCCTCATTCAGGCTTCTATATTCCTTTATTCACTCTCAGCAAAATCCTATGCACAAAAAAGGTTCATACACAAGCCACTCAATAGGTACAGTCAAACATCGTTGTACCGCGCCTACCTTGGGACGAGCATGAAGTTGGCGATATAGCGGGACTGACAGTACAGTAAGGTTTTCATGTCCTCTGTTACATACGGTTAGAGCCACCTTCCCCATGTCCATAGAACTTGTCTATCAATCACTAGATGAATTAAGCTGTTTCCTCCCTTCCATCTGTCACTTACACTTGAGCGCGAGTCTTCACTAAATGAAAGCTTCATGGGCATTCGCCAGCCTGTTAAGTAACTGGGCTGATATCAGGCGATGCCACATAAATTGCCGGGGGGGGGGGGAAACGGTGAGTTACTTTACTTTAAAGTTCCTCCAGGTGACTTAAAAATTTTATTCAACTTTTTTTCTTTTTATATCCAGTTTTTTCTTTTTATATTGACCAAGGCCTAAAATTATATTTTTTTAATAATGGTACTCTTCTTCTACATTACACATTGTATTGTATTCGCTTGCTTGAAATCTACAAGACAAGGGTGGGGAGGTGAGATGGGTGGGGCAGGAGCTAATCCACGAAACGCACTTGATCTAGACCAAACTCATAGACACTGTGCGTAGACCTGCATGTGAGCCTCAACCAGATTGTCTGAAATTTTTGTGCACACAGCCCCCCCCCCCCCCCCCCCCCAAATCCATTCCCACCATAAGAGCTTTTGTGGGTGTCATAAAACAGCAGCACTTGTAGGTACATGATGGAGGCATTAACCCCCCAAAAATAACCTACAATGGCCCTTCAGAAATGTAAAAAAGCCTACAAAACATAGAATTGGAATGTAAATCCTATATAGTAATCTTGATAAATCTAAATCTAGATCTGTAGAACAAGTGAATGTTGTTGTTGTTGTTGTTGTTGTTGTTGTTATCGATCCAGCAACATCTGGGCTCTCGCCCTTCTGTCCAATGCCATGTAGTGATAAGTGCAGGTTTGCTGCAGTTGCTGTAATGTTCCGTAGAGTGTGTTGTCTGATGTCATTTAGGGCTGTACAGTGGAAAAGGTGATGTTCCACTGTCTCATATGCATAGTCACACAAAGGACACATTGGGGGAAGTTCTGGTTTTATTCTGTTCAAGTGAAAGTTGAGCTGTATATGTTCTGTTCGTAGGCGGAAGATCGTGGTCTGTTTCTTTCTCTGTAGGTGGCTGATATTGTCATTTCGTTTTGTTGTAGTCATATGTTTGAAAACTGCTCTGCCTGTCTTTCCCAAGGCCCATCTGTTCATCCAATCTTGTTTGCCGTTGCTTTTAATGATTTGTTTTGCAGTGTGGTATGAAGTTGGAATGTTGGGTTGTTCCTGTCTAGATCCCCTTTTGGCGAGTGTGTCTGCTCTGTCATTTCCAGGTATGTTTGAGTGTCCGGGAATCCACTGCATCACCAGGTTGACGCCACAGAATGTTATCAGATGATGGGAGCCAAACAGTATATGTGTCAAGTCTTCGTTTAGATGGTGATCATTTTCTATTGCTTGCAAGACTGATAGTGAGTCAGTGAAGATCACTATACTCTGGCTTTTGTTTGGATGAGTGTCAAAAACTGTGCGGAGATGGTATAGTGCTGTTTCAATTGCTATCATTTCTGCGTCGTAGTTGTTGCATTTCTCTCCACAGGCTGCAGAGATCTCATTGGAACTTCCATCTGGGTACTGTATTAGTATTCCATATCCGGCTTTGGTTGTGCCTTTGAATGCTGAGCCGTCTGTATAGACGTGTATCCAGTCATCTGAATAGCTGTCGATTGTTTGGTGTGAAGAAAGCATCAACTTCACTGGGTCTGAAGATTTTGTGCTATTGTCTCTGAGAGAAGTTTTAATGATTGGTTTTTCCATAGAACAAGTGAATAGGAATAGGCCTTGAACGAAATCTGCACCCAAAAACAAACAAGGAGCATAATAATAGCCTACATAGCTATAAAGGGTTTGATACAATAACAACATAGAATTGGAATGTGAATCCTATATAGTAATCTAAATAAATGTAGATCTACATTTAGTAGAACAAGGGAATAGGAATTGGCCTTGAATGGAATCTGCATCCTAACAGAGGGAAGGGACTCAGCTGAGTCTAATAATTTATACACCTGATGAAATGTACTTTTACCAACATTAACATTACAGCACAGCCTATAATAGGGTTTGACACAATAGAACTGGAATATGAATCCTCCATAGAGGTCTACATCTATAGTGATCTAGGGGTATTCTCTTTATACATTAACAAAACCTGGCGGTAAACAGGGCTGGCGGTACAACGGGGGATGGTACAACGCGGATTTACTGTACTATGAACCGACAATCTATATGGACATTCATACAAGCTCTGCCTGACACATTATGTGTGGCATCTAAATCTCTAATAAGAACAATAATTCAAAGACCTGGTCAAAGGAAAATGAAAGGAATGTAGGAGAAAAAAATCTCAATCTCCACTGAGACACAATAATGAGAGCTAGATAGACTTGACCTGAACATTTAAACTTCTTAACCTGTGAACACAAGGCAAATTACAACCAATGGAAGACAAAAGTCAACATGACTTAGGACGAAAAAGAAAGATGAAATAGCAAAGGAGTTCTAAAAAATGGAAAGAGGAGAAAGGTATACCTCAAATTTTATTTAGAAAACAGCACTCAAGGACTGCGTCTACAAGTACTCATTAATGCAATGACATTGTTAACACTGGCTATCAATCTCATGAGGGTGAACCCTAGGAACAACAGGAAGCAACATGAAGCCCTTACCTGCACGTCGTGAGCCCAGTAGCCGGTGGTGTAAGCCTGCACCCCTACTGTCTTCAGCGCGTTCCTGACAAAGGCGTTGGGACTGGGCACCATCAGGGAGGTGCGTCGAAACTTGCTCAGCTTGCTCACCACAAAGTAAGGCGCCACATACTGCAAGGGAGACAAATTCAGTGAAGTACGTTATCAATGCAGCAATAAAAAATTAATGTTCTTAGAAACAAATCAATAAAGCTATATTAGCCTAGGGCCAAAACAGTCCCTCAACAAGTAAAGGTCACAATTTTTGAAAAGGAACTTTCATAATCATTAAATTTTAAAAATTCTAGCTACCAGTTCTATAAATTTCTAAACTCTGGACTTATATTCAATCATCTTAATCCGATGTTTAGTAATGATAGTAATGTGCAGTGAGACAATATTCTACCAGAAACTATTCAGTTTCTTTTGTTCAAATTAAAGAGAATACCATTTACAAGCTAACGCTCATTTTCACAATCAAGACAGAAACAACAGAAGGACAGAGAAGAAATCATCACTTTCGTTCCTCACTGTTGTATGTCAAAATAAGAAGTTTACAGGAGAAGCAAAACAAACTGTTTATTTCACTCTGGACCATATCTTAATACAACATTCTTCTAAATCTGTTACGATTTTAAGAAGAGCAATGGGACAAGGACCAATCGATGCATCTCATCAAGCTCCACAACATACTTGAATTTCATTTTTTTAAAATTTTGACATAATACTATGTTGAATAACAGCGACAAAATAATATGACCTATAAGCCGAGCCCACCAATCACCAGTACGAGAGTATTGAAAACAACAGTCCCATTCAAGACGGCCATGCATTATCGAGGAGAAAAGTGGCTGTTTTAGACAGTATCATTATAATGTTAAAAAAATATGCAAGGGAGGAAGTGGGAAGTGGCTGTTTGAACGGGTGATTTTCTTTCACAAGTGGCCTTTCGAGGAGGTTCGACTGTATTTCTGAATTGTAAAAGGCGAACAACAAAATAAAATGTAACTGACCTGGAAAGTGACTCCCCGTCCAATGTATTCATGGTACAGAGACCTGGTGAACATCTCCACGTAGCCCTGGGAAATCCAGAAAGAAAGATGAGACACAGTCAAACTGAAAAATTTAAAGAGAGGGAGAGAGAGAGAGAAAAAGAAAGAAAGAGATTGAGAGGACAAAAGAGGGAGCCAGAGTTACAGAGCTCATTATTTTGAGGGATTGGCCATTTTGATCCTGTCCTTCAAGGCCAACTCTGGCAGGGTGGGTTACCATATACCAGCTTAGTGCATTTGCAATTTAGTACCGGGTATGTTTATTCAAAACTGGACTGTCAGATAGCGTTATTTCGGGCGAGTCAAACCTAAAGAATTCACTCCAAGCCTGCAAGCCTGCTCATATGAATTCACTCTATCCACATATTAAACTGAACCATCAGTAGAATACATATTACCCAAGCATCAACTTACCAATTGCTAAGACTATTTTGCAACTCATTTTAAACACTGCTCAACATGAGTATCAACTACCAGGAAAAAACAAGGAATAGCATGGTGAAACATGACACAGACAAAATCCAGAAAGCTGAATAATAGTTTACTGTAAATCTGCTGACAACAGCAACATTCTCTCAAGAACAGGCTATAATATATAAATATATATATGCAAACAGATTCCTAGAGACCAATAACCTTGGTTAGTGTGAGATTTACTAGCCACCAGTAGTCGTATCAGTTGAAGAGAATGCCCCTTAAAGAAAGAGCTGGTATCAGAAGCCCTGCAACCTTCAACATTACGCAACATTGAACTCATTATCTCAAGGTTCCCAAGGTCAAATTGATAATATCTAGTACTCAACAACATTATTATATCACTCAATACACAGCAACTGCCACAAAGAAAATACAAGAACTCGACTATCATCTCTCTGTTATATCAAGTATACCTCATTACATAAAATTTGCATTCAATGCACGCTTTTAAATTCTGAATTATGTAACAAAACTGCTGACAGCATCCACTATAGAAAAGTCAAAATTCAGCCATTCAATTCTGTAAACATGAATTACAGCTATCTCAATGACATATGCCATGAATACAAATCCATCTAAAAAAAAAAAAAGAAAAGACAAAAGAAACACGCGGGAAAAGAAGTTTTCAAGTCAAAAGTGGAAAAAACTATGAATATCAGATTTCTTTTAAAACAAACGGAACTGACCTTGGTTCCAGAGTACAGAGCCAGGAGTGGAGCTGGTTTGAACCCGGCACTAGATCCAATGTTGATGACGTAGCCACGTTTCTTGGCCACCATAGCAGGGAGAACAATCTCAGTCATCTACATTGGCGTCAACAGAGACATTATAAGTCAGGACGCCAACAGAGACATCATGAGTCCCATTTCAAATTAGATGAACCAGACACAAGCAGAATTATTAGCTAGATGGATGTTTAATGGTTGTATGTAGGGTGTGTCTTAGACAAAATACAGTGTGTAGTAATAAGTTAATTTCTACTTCATCAGCAAATGGTTCAACTGTTTCAAGCCCAGAAAGCTAAATTTTTCACGAGGGAGAAAAAACTTTCATCACTCTAAGAACTGTACCCACATTGTCTACGTTATCTAGCATTTTTTCAACACTCAAAATTTGAATTTCAACACAATACTTCTTAAGCACATGCAACTATTAACACAGACAAGGGTTAAGACAAAGAAAAATAGAAAAGATTGCATTTATTTATCCTCACGGATGATTAATTTATTGAGATATGAGCATATATGCCCACATTACTGAAAATAACCATGTGGACAACAAACCGTGACCAGTTACAGTGCTCGGACTTAAATTTTGGACTAGCTGTTCAGACGTATTTAGCGCAAAATTTTGAAATTGTTTCTTATAAGTTTCTTAATGTTCTCTTCTGATGAAAAATCAGGAACAAAAAAACAATAAAATCTACTCAGATAATTAAGAACTAAAAGTGAACAAGCAGGTTCAGAACATTTTTTCAAAAACATCCTCCAATCCCTAAAAACACAATCTCATTTTTCCAAATAAGCACAATTAGAAAACGTTCCTTTGAACTACACGACACACAACCCTACAGAAGACAATTGCAAAGAAAAGACACATCAGTGAGACACAGCAGACTCATTACTGGACTTTGAATTTTTTATTTTTAAAAAATTCTTCTGAATAGGTAAATGTCCAAATTTTCTTTATTATGCCAAGACCAAACCTGAACTGTCAATGATCAAGACTGAAGCTGTTATTGACTGGTTGTCGGGTTTTTTCTACCAGCTATGCATTTTATTTATAGAAACCTAACAACAGATGATAAAATACTTGTTATGAGTTCTTATTTTCAGCATCCTTACCATTGCAACAGAAGTGCAGTTCATGTGAATCATCTTCTGTGAAAACTGAAAAAGAAAAAAAACCAAGAGGACTATATTAAAAAAAACAAAAAACTATCTTCTACATAGATTATGTTCAACTTGAATGATCTTCTTTCAACGAGGCTCAACTATCCATTCTTCTTCATATAAAGAACATTTTTTGTCCTTAAACTCAAAAATTGATAACTTGATATGCATTCGCGTTTGAACCATTAACTGATTCCGTCCATTTGGCCTCTGACAGCGGCTCTGGGTATTCCCACTGTCGCTATTTGACCCCTGTGAGTGGCTCGACGAAAACCGAGCCAAATATGAAACGAAAGTGCACTTTTTAACATAGATCCTACTTTTTAAGCTGTTGAAAGGAAGTAGAACTTGTAAACAAGCCTGACCTCAATCTATGAGTGCCAAAATCGATTGAAACCCCGCAAAATTCTTGCCTTGTTGACAAAATGCAGGTACGAAGTAAAGGTAAACATCATGGAGCCTGTTATAACAAAAAGGCCCTTCAGTGAAAAATATTCAATTAAATGTGTGAAATTCTTGCATAAATGTGTGCTAGGGTGGTCCTATAATCTGAGAAAAGAAGAGGAAAAAATCCAACGGGAAGAAAGCAAAGATGATAATCCTGGAATATGACAAATATAAATCTGAGCAATAAACTTCGGCAAGTCATTTCCCTATCACATGAGTTGGACCTTCTGCTGGTCTGCATTCCATTTGCTACGTCTACAACCACAGGTGTAAAACTTCTTCAAAATCATTCAACACAAGTGCTGTAAGATAAATGCAGTGAAAGACAGCTTAACAAAGACTTGACAAATCTAAAATCCGGTACTCACGTCAGCTTCCTCAACCTCTCCAAAGTACTCCGGATATTCATACGAGCAACCAACATTATTCACCAAGACCCCAATGTCAAGGCCGTTCATTTTCAGCTTAATACCGTCGTAGATGTCTTCCCTAGAGAAGTCTGCGGCAATAACTTTCGTTTCTACTTTATATTTACTCTCTGGGGAAAACACAAGGACAGAACTTTTAAGCCACAAAAAAAAAATCCTCAACGTCATCAGTAACACCATCACAAGATTTATCATCAGCATTGAGATATCGTACATTTATATTAGTCTCTTCTGATCAGTCTACAGGAAGGTTTCAGTAATTATTCAAAACTGACCTCTGGAAGAAAATTCTTACCTTCATTAGCTGTTTAAGTGCAACACAATGTCATGACATATGACAAAAGCAATGACAACAATACAAACATATGCCACTAAAAAGTTTTTTGTTTTTGTTTTTTAAAATAAATTTTCAACTCAACACAAGCAGCATGACAGGAAAAGGAAAAACTAAAATACTGAACTAATGAAAAAAAAAGAAAAAAAAAAAAAATTCTTAACAGATAATAAATGTACCAGTGCTAATACAACATAAAATATATTTCCTGAAAAGTCTTTCACATAACTGCAAACAATATCACTTGATCTCAACAACATATTAAGTGAACAAATTTTAGCAATTACTCTTCAATGCGAGCATCACAAACTCGTAGGAACAGTCTCCCAGTTGATAAAAAAACAAGTAAAACGAATTCAAAGCGTTTATGAGCAAATCCTGGAATAAATTTAGAAAACCTGCCATGAAAACCACATACCAACTTCTTTGGCCATGTCCTCCAATTTGGACAGTGTCCTACTGATGAGGACAACATTGAGGCCCTTCGCTGCCAACTGTAAAATAAAAATAAATACACTCATAAATATATATATATATAAATATATATAAATATATACAGACATCATTCAAGACATAAGGAAAGCACTAACAAACTGTCAAGTCATTTATAAATAGAATTTTTTTTTTCTCGTGTTAATATGTCTCCCACACACCCCGGCCCATCAATAAAAAGTCATGTTAATTAAACAAACATACCTTGAGGTTCTAGCAAAAAATCTAGACCCTCAGCTCCTGTCTTTAGACTTCTGACCCAAGACAGTCTACAGATCTACAGAAAGCTAACAAGTAAGACACAACAATTGAACGGCCCCATTTAAAAAAAACTCAACATCTGGTAGAGTTGAATAATTATTCTAAATAAAACGCACAAACCTGTTCAGCGTACGCCTTGCCAATCCCATCTGTACAGCCAGTGATAACTGAAAATAGAAAGAAAAAAAGGAGATAAAATAAAGCTTAAATACAGTCTAGCAGGCACATAGCGAAACATGCACATTATATAGTGAACAGATTATCAGGTCCGTAATTTTTTTAACAATACACGATGTATATCATTTGTACTAAAACATGTACACAGCAAAACTCATACACATCATTTCTTGATGAATCAAATAATTTTTAGGTGCCAATATTTTCATGGTAAGGAAGGAGGTAAGAACATTCCTCCTGTGTCACGACGTGGTGGAATCAAGCGCTCACTAATTTTTGGGCATGTGTGAAGTTATTAGCATCATCTAAAAGCTTATTCATTTGCTTTTCTTTTAATATAAAAAAAATCCCATCTATCTTGAACAGGAGTCAAGATATTTGCGATTGAAGGAGGTGAGGTCACCTGTTTCAATGGTGAAATAAGTGAGAAATGGGCCGCCAAAGTTTGGTAACTCCAATAGCTAAAAGACCTTGAAAACTGTAAAAAGACATATTTTGTAATCCATATTTCTCAGTAAACTGTACACAGAAATGGGTTTTTACATGGACATACAAAGGGTTGAGCGCAAAAATGCCTGTTTCTCAGATTTCGTTATTTTGACGAGCACCTGATTTCATCACAATGCCTCACATATTAATATTGTTATATCGTCCCTGTCGCAAGCAGCCCCTGAGTTAAGTTTCGAGAATTTTCTATTTTTTCATCCTCCCAACATCAACGCCAACTTGATCAAAGTCATAGAAAAGCTATACAGCAAAGCTACGAGCACAGTCTTCTTCAGCAACATTGGGGAATTGTTCCGAACAACAGTGGGAGTACGCCAAGGGTGTCTGCTCTCACCCACTCTTTTCAACATTTTCTTGGAGAGAATCATGACAGATACACTTGAAGATCACGAAGGAACAATCAGTACAGGGGGCAGAACGATTTTATAACTTACGTTTTGCAGACGACATAGGCGCCTTGCGGGACAAGAGCAAGAACTAGTCAGCTTAGTAAACTGTCATGAAAAGACCTCCACAGCCTACAGCATGGAAATCAGTGCTGAGAAGACCAAACTGATGTCTACCAACATTAAAAACATCACAGTGGCCATTCGAGTCAACAACCAGAGGCTTGAAACTGTATGCAGCTTCAAATCTCTCTCTCTCTCTCTTGTCCTTTTTAACTCCCAGTGGAGCACAGGCCATCAACAACATTACTCCAGCGAAGCCTGTCCTGAGCATCCTTTTCTATCTGTTTCCATATGTCCCCGCTTTTTCAATTTCGGCTTGTACCGCTCGCCTCCATGTCATCTTTGGTCTTCCCTTCTTACGCTTTCCTTGTGGGTTCCACGTTAAAGCCTGCCTAATGATGCTTGTCGGGGGTCTCCTCAGAGTGTGTCCAATCCATTTCTTCACCTGAATATCTTCCTTTACTGGCCTTTGGCTTGTTCTCTCCCACAGTAGAGCATTAGTGACTCGATCGTACCACTTGATCCCCACTATCCTTCGTAGGCATCCATTTACGAAGCTCTGCAGTTTCTTTGCTGCTGATGCTGTGAGCCTCCATGTCTCTGAACCATACAGTAGAAGTCTTCACGTTTGTTTTGAAGATCCTCAGCTTGGTGTTCAATCCCAGTTCCATAGACATCCATATATTCCTGAGAATGATGAATGCTGATCTTGCCTTTTGGATTCTGACCTTGATGTCTTCGTCTGTTCCCCCTGCCTTGTTGATGACACTTCCTAGGTAGGTGAATGATTCAACATCCGCCAATGGTGCCCCTTGCAGTGTGATAGGAACGTCGGCTGCATTCATTCGTAGAACTTTCGTTTTATCCGTTGAATATGGAGTCCAACACTACGGGAGAAGGTCCTGAGGCGATCTGTTTTCTGTTGCATCTGGGCTTAACCGTGGGAAAGACAGCTTCAAATACCTGGGTGTAATAGTGACAGACGAAGGATCAAAACCAGAAATAATCTCCACAATAGCGCAAACTTCAGCAGCAATGACCAAGTTGAAAACCATCTTGAACGACAAAAATATCACCATCAGATCAAAGATCAGACTGAAGCGTTCCCTGGTCATGTCAGTATTTTTGTGTATATAATGCATGTGAAACCTGAACCTTGAATGCAGACCTTGAGAGAAGGATCACAGCAGTAGAGATGAGATGCTTCCGAAAAATCCTTCGTATCTCATACAAAGATCACACCACAAATGATGGAAGTCAAACAACGAATCAAAAATAAAATCAGGCCATATGCTGACCTTCTCACTCTGGTCAGGAAATGCAAACTGCAATGGTATGTACACATCACCCGTTCATCCGGCCACATCTTCAAAAGCGCCCTGACGGACATCCAGTCTACGGGATAGGTGAAGGTGAAGAAGACATCCTCCCAAAGCTCTATTCAAAGGTGCACCTTTCAATTCACCAAAAAGCAGTTTGTAACTTTAATACTGAGGTCAAGGCATACAATTTTCTTGCTTTTCATGATTCCTGATAGGAACAACACAACAAACACTAGGTTTTTGTCTCTGGGGTAAAGAGTAACTGAACAGACTGAAGTGGATTGCTTGCAACATCGTGGATAAATAATTAACTGTTTGGTTTTAAAAACAATTATATGTATAAGAGCCTTTGTCAATAGGTGGGGGTTTCTTCATATAATTATATATATACCTTACAAAATCCTTTCCTATTCTTGGTTATTCCAATAAAAAATAATGCTACAGCTTTGAAATTTGCATGTTGCGCTTTTAATAGGACGTTTCAGCTATAGGAGCAGAGAAATAGCAGTCGGGCTATCAGAAGAAATCTTACAAATATTTTTAGTTCTGAAATCGATGTATTTTTAGAATGCAAAACGTGACACATCGAGTTCGTACTTTTTCTGTTGTCAAGTTCATCAATGAAATAATTGCTGAGAAACTCGTACTTCCACATGTTCACTACTATAACTACATTATTTGGGGTTCTATATCAGGAATAATGATATCCTGTAGCTGCATTTTCTTTGTGAGCCTTCTAGATTTTAATTTTGAGCGTAACTTGTGTAGTCATTGCGCAAGGCAACTTCGATTCCCCATGACTTAGTTTCTATTGGCCATTTTGGGGCCCTGGAACGAGCATAGTATTGTTCAAGGTTTACTCCCTGCCCTGACTGATTCTGAGGATGTGACCGAGCGTAATTTTGCAGTAAACATAAATCCCACTAAGCCTCGTGCTCTGTCATCATTTGTTATGCTTGAAAGAACCAATCAGAAAACGAGAAATAATACAGGTGAAGGAATGTGCATTATTCCTGTCGATCCATTCAAAGCGTAATATTGTGAGATGCATCAAATCTTAATATGTAATGTTTAAAAAAAGCTGTTTATGTCCGAAAAAAAGTTTTCCTCCATTTAATTACATTTAAACCAAGTAATGATTAACATCGCATTGAGTTCCAATGGTCAAGTAGTGGTAGATCTAGATGCGACCATACGTGCTTGGCTAGATGTCAACAAGAAGGGAAAATATGATGTAAATTGACATTCCAAAATGACGACAAACATTTATCCGTTATGTGTCATCATGGTTATGTTCGAAAGATATTTGGTATTTTGCATAAAGTCATAGTAAAATGAGAATTAAATGGTATTTTTTCACCATTATCATGCATTATGAGTTAAACTGAATCTCCTGAATCTTTGTTTGCCAAAATTTTAAAAAAATTAATTAAAATATGAAAATGGAAAGTTTTTCCTTTCTTTCGGACATAACTATGATGACACAAATGCCAAAACAAAGACATTCAGTTCTGGGCCTACCCCTGCCTCGTTTGCCTTCAATTTTGCTAGTGAGATGAAGATGTTCAAGACCTTTATCTATTCAGGTGTCCCAAAAACTGCATTTGTCGTTTCCTGAAAGTCTTTAACAGTGAACGTCCCATGTGGGCTTCATCAAGAACTGCCTCATTTGATTTCTTTTCCTTCCACAATATTCTCAGCACTAGCAGTCTCCTAAGAAACCATATTTTTGCAGCTTCTATATTTTATTTTCACTGTCTTTAGTGATAGTCCAGCATTCCGTCAGTTCACACCTCGATGTGATCCCGTCTGGGGCAAATATTGTACTGTTTCAATTATTCACCGAGTTTTAAAACACTTATGTTATAATGTGATCACATATTTGCTAAAGTGGCTGATCTTTGACTTGACTTTTGTTTAGAGAGTAAAATTTCTGTTTTCTTTCAGCAGGATCTTAAGCGACCGGGATTGTAAATGGTGGGATCTTAGGCGGAGACAACTGTACCTTTAAAAAACTGAGGTATTGCTACACCTGGTCCCGTTACACCATGTCAGGCATGTGCATGTTTGCAATGATTTATAATTTAATAATTATTTAACATGTTCAATCAAAACTGACTTCCCAAGATGGTGCTTGCAATTCATTATATACAGTAATTCGATTACAGTTAGGGAGGAATTCTGTAACGAGCAACCACTATACAAAAGAGTAAAAATAAGGGTTTAAAAGTTACAGTTATAGTTAGGGGTATAGGTAGGGTATGGGGAAGGGGTAAGGTCAGGGTGGTTAAGAGGGGTCAGGGTGAGGTCTTTTCTTCAATTATTGTTTTTGTTGGGGTGGTCACTTGTTATCATGGAAGTCCATCCTTCGATCGGTAAGAAGACAAAATAGTGCCACAAAATACAGTACTGGCCACAGTCACAGTGAGCACAAAGTAGTGGTGAGCGCAAATCGATACCAGTAAAGTACTCAATATTTATCAAGAATAACCCCCTTAGTAAGTATTTTCGTCACTTAGTCATTGTTGACTCAAATCGATACTCAAGTCTTAGCATGTTGGGGTTTTCAAAACAAACTTTTTTAAAACTAAAAAGCATTGGAAAGGCTGCTGACCCAAAAACTATTGTTCAGGGTATTCTAAGACATGCAACTCATTTAGATGGTGAAAGTTGGGGGAGGGGGTTCCAAGAGTTTATGAATGCAGTCGATCCCCCAAAATTCAGAAGGCAACTTTTGGGGTTCAGCTAAAAATTCTTTCTAAAAGAAGAAAAAAAATGAAACCGTGCCCCCTCTTAAAAAAAACATGGGAAGGAGTTCCGCAGAAGGCGGGCAGACCACCAACACACAAAAGAGGGGATAGTTAGAGCAGTGTACACCCTAAGGCCAGCTTCTATTCGGACTCGAGTTCGATTAGATTTCTATTTGGACTCGAGTTCGATTAGATTTCTATTTGGACTCGAGTTTGATTAGATTTCTATTTGGACTCGAGTCCGAATATGGGTTTTATCTATTCCTACTCTAGTCTGGAAAAAAAAATGTTTTATTTAGGAATCTGCTTCAAGTGAGTGTGAGTGTAAGGAGGTCACATATGTTGTCAGGGGATTTTACGTAAAACCAGAAACTAGAACAAGAATTACCTACTAGGACTACTGTGTAATTGAGTCAAAAGTCAAAAGACTAACACTCTCATGATTGCCCTAAAGCAGTGTCTAAGTACACAGTAACCGACAACTCAGGGTCTTTCCACCACCACTACAGCATCATCATTTCTTCCACAACCATTTGTCTTTCCACATATGTTTAATTTCACTTTGTCGTTGTGTTATAGTTTTTCTGTAACTGATTATTTTTTTAATCCAGGGTCCCCACCAAATCTTGGAAATTTTTTTCAAGACCCCAATTCGAGGGAAAAATAAGACCACTGCTCGTCAAAAATGATCCTCAAAAAAGCCCATCAAGAAATAATAAAAAGTCAAAAAGTCTTTAAATGAATGCAAATTACATTTTGTAGTATAGTCTTCAAACAATAGATAATTATAATACTGGGTGACACTGCAAACCTAACTTCTCAATTTTTTTTCCGGGGGGGGGCCTCATCCATTTTCCAGGGGCATGTTACATAACAATGACAGCGCGTGCTCCATTTAGATCTTTCTATAATATAATACTCTATGTTTGTGAATACACACAACACACAAAATGTAGGTACATTATATCCAGCCAACAACATGATGTCAGTGTGGCACTGGGATCGTCAACATCTAGTGTGACTTTGGTACTTCAGTCTGTTCTTTATTTATATTTTCCCCTCATCAAATTAGCCTAAATAAACTATATTAAAAGTTAATCTTGTTTTGAGCCTGAGAGAAGACCATGAACCAGAATATCTACTGTCAATAATCAGTCTGGGTGTCATGATTCATATAATCAGAGGGAAGACGAAAACTACAAGTGAAACTCAAAGTAGACGTATTAGTATTAGTAAAATTAACATAACTTGAATGGCTCAAGTAGGCCTATTCAGCGTGAGAGGTGGGTAAGAACAGAGGGAGGGCAAGATCCAGTGACAATGAAAATCTGCCAATCTTTAACAGAAAGCTAAAATATATTCAATATAAATTACTATCACCCAATCCAATGAAACCCGAACACTTCAGTTCAATAACGATGATGGATCCCGATTCCACACAAGGCCACTAACACGTGCGTTGCAGAGAGCTCTTACAGTAGTCATCAAAATTCTAATTTATATTAGAAATTTGCTTCCAAGTTCAGTGTTTGTCCTCTAGCATTGCATTCAGCCCCCCCCCCACACTTCCCGAAGTGTGATCTTTTTAAATAAAATAATAAATACCCCCCCCCCTCCCCCATTCCGGATTTCTATACTTCACAGCGCTCAGACCACCAGTATTCACACGATGCCTTATCATGAAATGCGAACGCGCCTGACAAGCCTGACAAAAAGTTGTATGTAACTTTCTTTTCTTTTTTTTTTCACAAGCGACAAATATTGATTCATTTTCAAGGTGACACAGCGTTTGTAATAACTGTAATGCACAACCTGCAAGATACAAATGTTGCGTTATCTATCAGACTATTACCAGAAAATTTCTGGGTGGTAACGAAAGCGAAAGTAGATCTTGATTCTTCCTGATCGAACCTCTGTGTTAGTAATTTAGACTTCCGCCTGCCCCCATAGCGGAAAGTCATGTTTCCTCTTCATGATTCATCAACCATACTGTCTACATGATAGCTACACTACTAATACTAAATTAGTACACAGGCCCTATCCTCTCCCGCCTTCCCGACCCATCACAAAATTCCAGACTTTTTCCTAATTTCCCGACCTGGTGGGTACCCTGTTAATCACACGACACAAAATCGACAGCCTTGGCCTCTTCCCTGAGCAAGCCGAGAGTGCGAGATCACTACATCCAATCTCATTGGTCGACATAATTAACTTTGCCCCCAGCAAGGTCAACTAAACTTCGTTGTTCTGTTACTAATGATGCAGGCAGGGCCAGTTTAGAGATAGATCTAGTAACTGGATATAATTAAATCTCACGTCTCGATTGTTATCATTATTTATCAAAAAAATTTTTCATAAAAGCTGGCAATATCTGAACAAGGGTCGGAAGTCAGAACGGACATCATGCCGGACTCAATTCAGAGTCCAAATATATAATCTTGGCCGGATGTATTTCTCTGAACGCTCGGGAAAATAAACTTGAACTCTATTTCTCAGAACGGTCTCCGTTCTCTGGATTTTTTGGTTATTTGCGAACGGAGTGGCCCACGCGCGTGTGTGTTTAAGTGTACGTGCGGATGTGTTTGAATGTGTATGTGTGTGTGTGCGTGCAAGGCGTGAACGGGGGGGTGCGAGGAAGTCATGGAGTTTTGCAACGCTTGTGTGATCACATTCACGAGAGTGGCTGATCTTTTACGCGACGGGCCATTCTTTGAATTCAACTTTTAACTCTTGGTTGATCAGCTGTGCCTGCCCGGATGTTTGTTCCGTAAAATATAATCAGAAATGCCGGCACTTACTCTTTCATTTTATAAGCTTCAAAAAAGTACCCAAAATGTACTTTAAAAATACTCAAAAGTACTTTTGTAAAAAGTATCAGAGTAAAGTAAAAGTACAGGTTCTCAAAATGTACCGGAGTACAATAAAAGTACCGAAAATAGAAACGTAAGTACAAGTACCGAAATACTCCGTTACAACCAGTTCTGGTCCTAACTACACTACTCAAGACTACTGATCTATTTGAGAATGATTTGCTTTCAAGAGCACTGGCCCCCTACGGGACCTGAGTTACCTGGGTCAACAGTTTCTAGATGGCCACCTCTATTCTCACCCGGTGGGCGTTCACCGTTATAGCCTAGGCCAACCAGTGAAGCGTTCACCCTGAACCACAGAATTCTACACTGTGAAAACAGAATTATAGAATTCTGTGCTGTGAACAAACGTTCTAGATCTATTACAACTGTAAGTGTTAGCCTAAAAGCGAGCAATTTTGTCTGTGGGCAGTGGAGAGAGAGAAACAGAGAGAGAGTCAGAGGAGTAGCACGAGAACTTCCGGGAAAACAAAATGGCGACCTGCGTAGTTCGGCTCAATTCGGAAAGTTAAATAGCCGTAGCACCTTTGCAGACAACCAAACTAATTTAATTTTCTTGTTTAAAATGATTTTTTAACTTTGTTTTGGTCAATTTGATCGTCCACACCGATAGACAGTATTCAGAAAGAGACAGAGAGAGAGCTAGAGAGAGAGAGAGAGTATAAATTCTTTTCGCACCCCTGGTGAGAATAGCCACTTCCTTCTAGATTTGTTATAAGGAAGTGGCTATTCTCATCCGGGGTGAGAATAGAAAAACGATCTACCTCTCACCCCGGGTGAGACTTGCCAGCGTAGGCTATTCTCACCCGGTGCAAAACAAGACCTGCTTTTCCTCATTTTGGAATACTGTCTATCACACCAATCAAATTGATAAAAGTCAAGAAAAAATTACGTATATTATAGCACAAAAGTAAGCTAATTTGATCGTCTTCAAAGATGCTAATGGCTATTTCACTGTTCAAATCGAGCCGAACTACGCGGGTCGCCATTTTGTTTTGCCCGGAAGTTCTCGCAAGATCTACTCCTCCCCTCTCTCTCTCTCTCTCTTTCTGAATACTGTCTATCGGTGTGGACGATCAAATTGACCAAAACAAAGTTAAAAAATGATCTGTTAAAACACAAAAGTAAATTAATTTGGTTGTCTACAAAGATGCTACGGCTATTTAACTTTTCGAATCGAGCCGAACTACACGGGTCGCCATTTTGTTTTGACCGGAAGTTCTCGCGCTACTCCTCTCTCTCTCTTTCTCTCTCTCTCCCTCCACTGCCCACAGACAAAATAGTACGCTTTTAGTAGGCTACAGTTGTAATGGAACGTTTGTTCACGGCACAGAATTCTACAATTTTTCTGTTATCACAGTGTAGAATTCTGTGATTTAAGGTGAACGCAAAATTTGTTGGCCTAGATCTAGGCTATAACGGTGAACGCGCACCGGGTGAGAATAGCCAAAAGACTTGCCTGCACTATTCTCATCTCGGGTGAGAATAAAGGTGGCCTTGTTATAACAACACACTCTTGTGTTTAGTGCACTGACTGAAAGATCAGTAGTTCAAGAGATCTAAAAATCTAGAATCTAGATAGATCTAGAAACAAGATCTAAGTCCAGGATAGGACTTGAAGAGAAGTTCGAGGATCTGCCCTTTGACCTCTTCTGCTGGGTCTGACTGTTCTATGCTTCTTCTTCTTCTCTCCAAGAACTGCACTGAACTATAAGCCTTCAAAGCTTACTTCTTTCATGTGAAAATGGTTATAAAGTTTTACAAACGGGTAAATGCTAGATCTAGATTTAGATCTTACTCGTTTTACGTGGTGTGTACAGGCAGAGGGTAAAAGTAGCGGAGGGTTAAGGGTGTATGGTTGCTGTCCTTACCTGCCCATGACCCGGCATTCTTCAAATTGGCCGGTAATCCTAGTGTGCTAGCCAGAAAATGTGTTGTTATAAATCGAAAGAGGCTGATTGCAACTTTAAAAGCAACAAACACGGTCACTCCCGCTCCAATGACGCTAAAAAGGTCCACAGAATCGCCAAGATATTGTCTAATCATGGTGGCTGATGTGAGGAATTATCGATAAAGTAATCAAGAAAATGACAGGTTGGTTGGTCGGTGGACCCTGTGATGGAACGATCAGGCTTTGTCACGTGATTCGGAAGTCCAATGCTGTTTCTATGTGTATAAACAGAGAAGAGCGGTACTAGATCTAAAACACAGACTTCGCCTGCCACGTCTTCTTTACGAATGTAACTTTCTTACTTCCAGTCATAGTGACAGTTCGATTGTGACAACAAATCTGAATTAATTGAACACGGAATGTTCATCTGTTTTGCGATATGACTGGTTTGGAGGAGGGAAGGGGCGGTCGGTAATAGATGTTAGTGGCGTTTTTCTTCTAATTGATTGGATTACACTGAATGTTCATAATAATTATACATATGTATAATAATAATACTAATAAAATCGATCGCTTGAGTTATCGGTCATGATAGGTGTCATTATAAATAATAGTATTATTATCATTTCTATTATTTAAAAAATCAAAAGTCACCGTTAGTACTCTGTCTTGTGAACCTTGAGTGGGGGGTGATAACGTAGTTAAGCTTTATGAAAGCGTTCAGTCACGATATCAGTCGGCCTACTGTAATTCTGTTTGTGTGAATGAAACTCTAAAACTTATGGCCGTTAAGTAAGGAACAAAATGGGTGGAGAACCATGAAAACCTTATAAACACCTCAAACTAAATAATATTATCAACTGTGGGATTCGAACCATGGTCATCCGTCCCAAACTTGAAATTCCACGCCCACAGAAGATGGAGGAAAAGACATAATTAATAGTCCAACCGTTGGGTCTTCCTTTTGAACTTCTGAAACGATATTATAATTAGTTAGGTTTTCTAACTAATTTTTTCTAAGAAGAAATTTTGGATTGTCCAGCTTAAAAAATAAATTAATAATGTGAGTGTGAGTGTACGTGTGCGTTTGCGTGTGTGTGTGTGTGTGTGTGTGTGTGTGTGTGTGC